AGAGCCTATAAAAATATTATTTACAAATTGAAATTTGATTGTAAAAAGGACTCCAATTGGAATTCTTAAAAAAGAATTATTATATTATAATCTTCTATCATGTTTTAATACAGTGCCCCCACCCCCATTAACCCTGATTATTTTATATCAGATAAAAAGGACCGAATTAGAATCTTTTAATTTAAATGTGGAGACGTTGCATCATAAAATGAAATAGCAAAATTATTATTAACTACAGAAGTTAAAGAAACACTTAATTTTAAAAATATCGTAAATATTATGTATAAAAAAATTATCATCTTGTATTTAAAGAATTGTAATGCAAGTCAACAGCCATCATCATTAGGATATCAACGGCTTAATGTGAGGCCTCGTTTTCTACACTAAAAAGAGTTCGAGCATTAGAGAATCGATGAAAGATCGACGTATACAAAATTTAGCATTTTAATGGCATATGAAAAAAAAAATACATAAATTTTAGCATTTAATTCATTTATGTTAAAATTTAAAAATAATCGTGGTAATAATAGTATTTTTGTATATATTCATATTATAGTATTATTTTGTATTCATATTTATATTTACAAATTTTTAATAAAAATAGAGAAAAATTTCTATGAGAGCCTAACAGAGTTTTTAAAGTAGCGCGCTATCTTTTTTGGTAGCGATAGCTAATAGCGCCCTACTTTTTTTCTAATTATTTATGAAAGTATATAATTAGCAAAAAAATATAATGAATGTAACTATAAGCATGAAAATTTATATATAATATCATAATTAATTGTAATTTTTATGATTTATTATTTAATTGAAATTTATATTTTCAATTTGTATTGTAAACCTAAACCATTTGGTGTAAATTATTTAAAATGTCATCGCAAATGAATATCGAAATCGATATAAGTGAGTCAGATTATCATAATATTAGTGAAATGGAAAGTACTCTGGAAGAAAATGTTCTTGATAACAATAATACAAATTTCCCATTTCCAAAATTTGAAAAATATTTTCAAATTAACGTAAAAACAAAAGGTGGCTACAAATTTGTTTAAAATATAAAAAAAATACATCCTCGAATAAATCTGGTAGCTATAACCTCTAATAACCTAAAGGCAATTGCATATTTAAATTCTAATAGTATTTTTATTTTGATCTATCCCCTGGTACAACAATTTTTTGTCGCCAGACACTAATGATTAAGAATAGCAGACAAAGATGCTCTAGTTAGAATCACAATAACAACTTTCATTGATAAAAGTTACTAATATAATAGAAAATCCTAGAAGCACAAATGAGTATTTTTGATAATTTTCCTTATATTATAAATATGTATATAAAATTAAGTACTGCCTTGCCCTCAAGTGCTAGTGTTAAGAGATTATTTAGTAAGGCGAAACTTATACTTTTTAATCGTCGCTTTAGACTTGGGGATGAAGGATTTATAAATAAAAAATATATATTACCATAAATAGTTATTTTTATGACATTACATTAATTTTAGTCTTTTTACATAAAATTTTTTATAATTAATAACTAATTATATTTAAATGTTGATTTTTATGTATTATTTATACAATTACATTATAAGTAAAAAATAAAACGAATTTATTTCTAAATTTTTTTTATAAAAAGTAGCCAAAGCTACTTTTAAAAGTAGGGTTAACAATTCTGATGCCTAACTATTTATCTTATTTCAAAAAAATATTGGCCTCCCTAGGTAAGCAGTTGCCCCTCCCCCCGTAAGAAACTCCTGGCTACTACCATCTTTTTTTCTTAGCTTTCTTATGAAGTTTATATTTTTTTATAACCTTTGGCAATTCAAATAATTCCCTACATCAAATACGGCTATAAGGAGACTTTTTAGATTTCTAAAAATATAACATCTTTCTTAAAAAGGTTGATTATTTAAATAATAGTTGAATAAAACAAGCCATACCTGACCGAGTGTTAGACATCCTTTTAAAAAAATTAAGATAAAATGAATAAGGACAAATTTTCCATCTAATAATCATTCAAATTAATGGTTTGATTTATTTCTGAACCCTTGTTCATACTGTCTTCGGCACTTTTCTTTTGCCACCCAATCAGCTGTTTAGTTTTAGACATCGTAGGTCTTCTTAAATTATATCTTTTCAATTATGTGTAGTTAGCTCCCATTCTACACATTTACCTCAACTTGTATTCTCGACGAAATTTCTTTTCCAATATATCCCATCTCCCTCCTTTATGTCATGTAATATGCAGAGAAGGTCAATGATCTGGTATGGACCGAATTAAAGTTTTTGCAACCGATTCGCGGAAAGTCTATTGATATTATCACAAATGACCACTTAAATAATTATTGTTGTCAACTGGAGTTAGAGCCAAGGTGACAACTTTTTCCAAACATTAAATAAAAATTACAATTTACGATAGTTCTCAGTTTTCAGGAGGGGGGAGGGTGAATTATAAAGAGACTTAAGTATTTAAAAAAAATATATTATGTTGATAAATATTGATTTAAAATGTCTAGCGAGCATCATATCTTGAACAAATATTAGCTAATGTTTTTCAACATGAAAAAAATAATATAATATAATTAATTAATAGTGAAAACAATTTTAAATTTAATTATTAAAGTGAAGAAATTTGATGGATAGATAGTAAGGGAGAAGATATCACAAAAAAAAATTGTCAAAATTTACCTGTTTATTTATTTTTATAATAGCGAGACATTTGACTAGTCAATTATAGATTCATAATTTGTTAATTGATAATATAAATAACTTTCCCTATAAGTTGTATGATTTTGTGTATTTATATATGCAAATAATACCTCATCTTCGCGAGTCGTGACAGATAAATTATATCGATTTAAAAATATATATTAATAATACTAATTACATAGTAAATAATTTATTTAAATTAATTGGTAATTATGAATTTGATTTCCTTGGTTGCAAATATGAGATTATTTTTTTAAAGAAATTAAAAAGACGTGGGGATGAATTAATTTTAATTTCCTAGTGAAAGAAATAATATGATTTAAAGTTCTCAAATTATAAAATGATCAGCTAGGAAAATCGTAATTTTGGGGGTGTGTAAGACACCTCTCTTCAATAGTTCTACTTCTAGAGGGAGGCAATAGGGAGCTCAACAATACTATAAAAATGGACTCTTTCACATATTTAGTAATCTAGTGAAAAAATTATGCAAACACTATGATAGGGTCTGACAGACCCCATTTTCAAATTGATAACTCTCAATTTCTACACAAATCAAATCTTAATAAAACATTTCTTTATTTTATTCTTTTCATGCTAAATAAAAAATGTTGAAAATAATTATAACTTATGGCAAACTTTAAAAAAAAATTAACTCTTAATATTAACATCAGAGACCTGCAGGTTCGGCCAAGGTACAAGAGCCGGGCCGCATTTTAATTTTAATATACCCGGGCCGGATATGAAATTTTAAAACAAAATATTATAAATCTCCATTATTAGCTATAAAAATTAAAAAAATATATTTAAAAAAAGTCCGGGCTGGACCGTAAAAAGTACAGGTCTCTGATTAACATTAAATATAAAAATATTAGTTGCTATTAACATAAAAACATTTAATAAAGTAAATGTTTATTCTTCAAAATAAATATTTTTCTCCTATATAAATTAAACTTAGAAAAAACTTACGTAAACACTCTTGTGAGTTGCTTGATCCAAAGTTACAAATGGCTTATATTTTAAAAACTATTGAACCAAATTAGTAAAAATTTGGAGATATATTACAAAATATATTTAATGAAGCTAGTGAAGATTTAATCATAATAAATATCATTTCCAAGTAAATTTTAACACACTTGAGGCCCTATAGACCCGCAAGAGTATTGATAGATTAACAAGTTTAAATTACGGATCTAAGGACGCCATTGACGATCAGCTGATCCCGTTAATTAATATTGTAGGTCCGTTCATTTATTTTTAAATAAATTTGGCAAGCTGTTGAACAAACAGATGTATAAAAATATTGAAACTATTTATATAATGTGTTTCATAAAGTAATTACAGGGTCATTCTATGTCAAATCGATCACGATTTGACTTCCCCCTTGGAATTTGGGTAAAATTTTATATACAAGTATACATAATTAAAGTATGGTTCGAATTTTAACATCCCTATTATATTGAGATGGTCAGTAACCATGTTTATGCTTAACGATTGTCATTCAATCAAATATTTACTAAAAACTACTGATTACAAAATAATGGTTTCTAATATCAAAATAATTAGGTGTGCATTCTATTTAAAAAATATTTTAATGTGGCGGTCCGTTTAAAACCATTCTAAAGTTTAAATTTATTGTATAAAATAATGAGTTTCTCCGATTTTTTAATAAAATTTTAAGCACATGTCATTAAGACCTATATGTATCTGTATTAAAAAAAATTGGTAGGCCAAGTTTTTGCTTTCATGGGAAAAAAAGATAAAAACAAGGAATATTTAAATTGATGATCGAGTTGATTATTCATCATTGCTTAACATAGAATTAACTTTCTAAAAACAGACAGAAATACTAGAACGAGCAAAATATCAACATTTAAACCCCTCCCCCTACCCAATACTCATAAATAATAAAATATGGAATAAAAACAAAGATTTAACTCTACCAATTATCCGTTAAACCCGATAAGAAACACAATATTTTTAAATTTTTTTGATTTGTTTTGCGTTCCTCTATAAGATAATATGTATTTTAAAAAAATGAGAAGTCTCCTTGTTTAAGTGCTTATTTTTTTTATTAATTGATTTTATTAGTCACACAAATAATTTCCTAAATTATTTTAAAAAAAACTAAGTAATGTGCCGTTTTTTTTTATCTTGAGCCAGCCCTGTGCTTAAATAATTGATTATTTAAAAAAAATACTTATCAGGGGTATCGATTGTATCGAATTGATTTTTTTAAAAAGATTGGTATTTATACATTTCTAAAGTAACTAATTTTTTATTTTAATTTTACAAAACCTGGAATCTCCATTATCCTTTGTAGCTCCCTTTTCAACATCTCGTATTTCTTTTCCAGATTCTTTTCCTGTTCACTTAACAATAATATAATTATAATAAATAAAGGTTTATATCAAATTAGACAATTTTTGGTAATATTATATCATTTTATATAGAAGGGGTAATAAATCGAAGCAATTAAATGAGATCAGCAACGCTATATATTTCATTATATAAAAAAAAATAAAGTTTTGATGGATAACCTATGATTAGGAAACTATAAAACAATTTAAAAGTAAGGAAGAGAAATTTGGAGAACTCCATTCATTTAGTGCACCAACCTTTAGAAGCCTCTTATTTATAATTAGATTTGAATAAAAATTATATGTCAATGTGATCAAAAATCACCATAATGAATAATAAATTCGGGGAGAAAAAAAAATAAAAAGTTAAATTTTAATAAAATTTGGTTCATATATAAAAGGTGTTAAAAATTCATGGCCTATTAATTTATGCCATAATTCTTATTTAATCACTTCCGTTTTTTTGGTTACAATATCTGGATTAATGAATTTAAAACTCTTTTTAAAAAAATATAATATATATATTAACAACAGGTTATAATTTACAAAAAAACACGAGTCATAAAATAAGTATAAATTATCAAATGTTATTTCTATAAGATTTGCATTAGATATAATAGGCAATTTTGAATAAGGTATTTATTACACAATTTATCAGTGATTATAGAAATAAAATTAGTTTTGCAATAGAACCGATATATTCATATTTTAAAAAAATATAATGGTGCTGCAATAACAATTAATTTTGAGAAAGCAATGCATTACACATTTTAAAAAATAACAGTTAAGCTAGTAATGTTGTACGACTCGATTTTTAAAACGACTCAAGATTTTAGCCAAAAATATTATGAAATAGTGGAGATTTTGCTAATAGATGGCAGATTGGACATCTATTAACTAAATCCCGAGGCTTGCATAATATTTTTTGGCTAAAATATTGGGTTAATCGTTTTTAAAAATAGAGCCATTTAACCACACTACCAATAGCGCTAATTCCTTCGACGTTATTTTACAACCCTAAGTTATTCTATAAATTTTGGAGTTCTTATTACGCAAACCATAACACTTCTGGTGTTATAATAATGTCTTAGCATATTGCTCAATTCATTATGTAAAGTTGGGATTTTAAAACAGAACAGAGCATGCGATTAAAAGGAAAGTAGATATAAATCTCCTCTCCTCATCAAAATGGTAAAAGTGATTTAAGAAAATTTTTATTTGGGTTTCTTAATTTAAAAAAAATACATAAAAACTTACGAAATAAATCAATTTTAAATCATTCAAAAATACCGATTTGTAAATGAGATAGATATGGAAAAAGAGGACAATTTTTTTTCTAAACCCCAATTATCTATTTAATAAAAAAAAATTTAATTCATAAATGGCCTTAAATAATTTTTTAAAAGAAAATTTCATTTAGTTATTATATAAATTTTTGATGCGTCACTAAATCCGTTTATTACTTGGGTGGAAAGGATTAAAAAAAATTCTTGCATATTTTTATATAACAAAATAACTGAATAATAATCCTAATTATGATATGATTAATAATTTTTATTAAATTAGTTAATTAGATATCTTAAAAAATTGATAAAATAAATATTGTTTCTGACAGACAGTTAGGTAAAAAAAATAATTATTTGAAAAAAAGAATAAATTAAAACAATGTGGTCTGATACAATGTGTTTTTGTATTAATTATTGAAGGGATATTGAGGTAGGTTATCAATGGGGTGTACATTTTTTTTAAAATAATAAATGTATTAAAACGTCAATTTAATTAACCAATCTAAATTGAATATTTCAAAGTATTAATAACTTATTAATTTAATTATATCATATTATGAATAACAAGATATTTTACTTTTAAAAAAAAGCTTCACGTATTTGATATGACACCTATTATATTAACTACACAAACTATACTAAACAATACTAAATAATACTAAAGAAGATTATTGAAAAAGTTATGGAAGGATTAAAATATTTAAACAAAGATGATGTGTGATATTTATATTTATATATACATTTCGAGTCAGACATACGAATGAGTGGAAATATTTTTTTTTATAAACTAGTTGGATAATGAATCAAAATTATCAATAACTTAGCTTAAAATGTTATTTAAAAAAGGAGATAATTTGAATTTTTTCCGTTATAATCGTGTGAGAGGATTAAATGCTAGGATATATTAAAAATGATACCGTGAAGAAGATGATTAGCAATAAGATATTTAAACAATGCAAAAAAAAGATGTTTATTTCTTATTTTTAAAAAATCTAAGCTGAAATTAAGAAATGTAACTTGATAGTTTTTAAAAATTTCCATAAAGAAATGTCAATTATTTTTTTAGAAAAATTAAATCCAAATATTAGAATGACCAAGATGATTATCTATTAACTTTTTGGTTATTAGATTTTATTAAAATCAAACATAACTTGAGCGCGCTTGAAATGTTTTCCATTCAAGACATGGGTTAAATACAATTAAAATTGTTAAAATGAACTTTTTACCGCAGGCTTCAAATGAAGACTAGGGTCCAAAAATCATGATTTTTAACATTTTAAAATTCAATTTTTTAAATATTAATTCAGGATTTATTTGATTTAAATCAAATCCTATAATAAAATAAAGCTAACTTTGAAAAATATATAAACTAAAATGCATTTATTATTTTTTATTATTAAATTATTCAGGCCGAGCTTTAAAAAAAAGAATTTGCAGTTATAAAAAGAAATAACAATTCACTATATTAGTAAAAGAATAAACTATGATTCAAGAAATCCTTACGGCAAAAAAACAACAAAAAAGTATCCTATAAAATTTTTTGTTAAACATTTTATTTAATAATAATATATATATAAACAGATATTGGTATTACTAGATAGTAAGTTGGTTCTGTTGACAATTCAGCGAGTTTTTGGTTTCCACAATTTCAAACCACTCTTTCAGCAAGATACTTTCTTTATGAGTTTCTATGTAAGGCAAACATGAAATAATATCTTTTTTTTAAATCAGAATTTAAAAGGTAATGTTAATATTTCAAGCACAAATTGATAGTGCATATAAAATAAAATGTAAAATACGTTTTTTTTAATTTCTAAATAAAAAACCGTTTTAATTGAGAAAGCATATATATTAAATAAAATGCAAAGTTTTACAAGATAAGATAGTTAATATTTAATAATATTTTTAGTGTGACCATCCATGGGGTTTTGACCGTATCAAAAATATGTTCATTATATAGTAAGAAGGTTTTATTAAAAGCAAACCTTTGTTGGCAATGGAATTCCTTATCTCCTTCTCGAGCGCATAAGCTTTCTCGTCCAAATCCTTTTGCATCTGATTCAACTTCTCGAATTCTTTTTCAAAGTACAGGCTCCTTTTGTCATTTCCGCCCATGTAACCAGATCCATTCCCGATGACATCAATGTGAGCTTTTGGTTGCTTGCTGTCGATATCTTTAGCTAAGGAGGTTTTTGCATCCTCGATATCATCGATTTGATCTTGTTCTAACAATTTATTGATCCTAATCATTATATCACCATTATTTGAGAAGGAAGGTATGGATGAAGTGGCGGGAGGTTTTGCGATGAGTTTTTTGGGAGAGTATGGTTCGGGGGTTTCTAGGTTGTATTTTGTGAAATTAATATAATGTAAATGAAATATTACTATGTACAAACAAATGTTTAATCAGGATATCATTCTAGGATAATTAAAAACTGTTTTATTTGTAAATCCATTTATAAAGAAAAGGATTAATTCTTTTTAAAAACCTGTTATATTAATATGTTTTCCCTCGTAAACTTCGTTTCCCTTGCGCACGTGATTATGAGTTATCGTGTTAGTGGCTTTTAAATCGATTAGAGATGACTGATCTACATATTTAATTAATATCAAAATTTTATTTTGAATTTATGCACATGATAGCTACCAAATTTCAGCGTTATAGTATAAATAAATTTTTTGATTTATGAGTGCTTAGGTCAATTAAAATCTACAAGAAGCTCTTCCTAAACATGCCTAGATTACGGTCGGAAGAAACCCAAACAGTTTTTTCTAAAATGGGTTAGGATATGATTAGAATTAGTCTGTAATTTGGCAAAGGTTAAGATTAATCTTAAGATTTTCTGTCCCAAGTAACCTTTCAAGATTAAGTAAATCAAAACTTATCCTTTTTTTTAAATAATAATAATTTACTTTCTTCAATCTTCTCTTCTTCTTTCTCCATATGTGACACAGTGGAAGAAAATGTGGGCATGTCGGAGGAAGTTTTTTTGGATCCATCTAATGCGCCGCTATCCAATTTTTCGACGCCATTATTATCATCAATAATTGTGAAGAACCTATTTTCTTTTTCATCACCATTACCATTGGTATCTCCGGGTTTGGTAGACAAAAACGCGTCCGATTTTAGGTTTATGGGAGTAGTTACGAATTGTTGAGGCGTCAATTCAACGTAAGTGTCGGCAAATTGGAAATCAAAGTCGGGCTTTATTTTGAGTCGGAAGGATTGATTTTTGGAATTATTAGCCGGAGATTTTAAATATTGACCCCTGTTGAAATTATTCGAATCAAACGGAATCTCGCGAAGACTGGGTTCAAGTTTATCCGTATTTTTGTCGTCAATTTTTTTTCTGAGTTCGCTAGTAACCACATTGCCAATAATCAAATTTTTATCAAAACTTTCTGTTCTTAGGTTATCGAATGTTAGCGCTCTCAACTGTTTAAGCTTAGCTTTTTGGCGAGCTTCTTTGACTAAAGTGGTGGCTCTATTTTTGAGTTCTATCTCGCGGTCGGTAAATATGGTGGTAAAGTTGGAAGGAACTTTCTAAGGGTAATTAATTAGAAAATGTAGGGAGGGGGATAGGAATTCAAATATTATAATATGCATAATTTAGATTTGAATTAATCCAAACAATATTCTTTGTACTAGGTTACTTCTTTATATCCCTCGTACCCAGTACCAACCCTAACACTGGCGTAAGCCGGTTTGCCCCTGGCAAAAGTTGATGGACTAGGGTATTTTTTTTGGCTAGTATTGATATCGTCCCTAGATGCTTTGATTGGCTTAGGTAAATCCCGGAAAACCGGAAAACTTTTATTGCTATTCGTTGGCTGCTGGGTTTCAATTTTGAACTTTGTGTGCGCCTTTCGATCATCATTTCCTTGGTGAAAAGAAGATAATAAATAAATTAACTTAAAAGATAAGGTGCTAAATGTATACTGATAGGTTACTGTAATGAAAATATTTGACCAAATTAAATATTATTAAGAAGTCAGGGTCTCGACTTTCTCGTGTTTTTTTTTAAAAAAAGTTTATAAGTTAGTATTTGCATAGGCCTAAATTCTGTAGTTCTGTCCGTTCAGGCCCACGCTATGATAAAAATTGATTGACAGCGTAGACCCGAAATACAATATAAAAAAAATGACTATGGCTAGATATAATATGTAAAAAGGGTAGTCGGTTCAGTTCGGGTTCAACGGAAGAAAAATTATAAAGGTTTAGATAAGGTTCAAGTTAAGAAATTAAATTCTAGAAGCTCAGGTTTAGAAACCTTTATCGAAGGTTCATAAAGATTGAATAATCATTATTATACAGTATACCCATATATAGCTCTATAAATAATTGAATCTCGATTTATGATTGGAATAAAATACAGTTTAAGTTAACTTGAATTTTATTATCAATTTTAATTTATACATCATGCGCATAATTAAAATATCATCTAATATATCTTTGTTCAATTTTGTACTCTGTGTTGATGAATATATTTCAACCAAAACCTTTGTCGTGGGGACATACATAGGTATTGATGCAAACAGATATGTTAGGGTTGCTCTAATATTCTTCTTCCTGATATGCAACAATATCGATTTTATTATTAATCCTTTATTGGTATTTATTAACCACTACTTTTGTTATTCTTTCATTTGCAATAAGGATTAAAAATTGTCTTCAGGGTCGGGATAATTATTTTGACTAGTAATCGGATGAATATCAATGCATTCATCAATTCAATTACGCGCCAGTTGTATAAGATGTTGAGGATCAAGATTTAAACATGGACAGAATGCATGATTTTTAGAATCTTGCTTAATTTTATACAAAAAATTAACAAATTATCATTTTTTATTTCAATCGTGTATATTATTTAAAGAGAAGAATATAAGAATATAAATTACCTTGTAAGTTTCTTTTTCTATAAATGTTATACTTCTTCTTTTATTTATAAATTAATAGTAAATAATATATAGTAGATTATATAACATATTACATAATAGTGTTAAAAAAATAATGCCTAGTGATAATCTAAAGAAATAAGATAACTAAAATATTTTTAAATTTACATTGTTTAATATTTATAAAATAAAAACCTATTTAAACCATTTAAAGGTTCGGTCAGCTCCTCTTAAATTTTTAAATAAAGGTTCAGCCCTGGTTTTAAAAAATATTAAATTATATAGGTTCGATTATACACTCTGCCTAATATATAAATTTACCTGAATGTTTGTTTAACATTTTCAAAAGTTTAGTATTTCGGATCTAAAAATACACTTAGATATTGACAAAAATCTTTAAAATATTTTTGAGCAGAAATCTGTTTTTTGGTTTACCTAAAAATGCCAAAATCTTTTATAAGTAAATCTTTTGTAATTTTCGTGAATAAAAAAATCTTTCTAGATGAAATTAAAAATTTTTTGAACATCAAACTATGATGCTTACTTTCTAAGGCGTGTAAAGTTTGTATAAAAATTATTTTATATTTCCGATCACAATAATTCTTCTAAACAAAGTCAGGCCAATGGAAAAATTTTAAATCGAGGCCCCGCCGACATTTAATTTAAATGTATTTGCCTGGGGGTACAGATCAGCCCAGTCATGTCGGAGAAGTAATTTATTTTTAAATTAACGCACAATTCATATCATATGTGCAAAAATAAGTTTGAATTTTAAAAAATTACTTGCAAAAGGATTAAGATCATTTTTGGAAGTTGTGAAAGATGTTGGAACATTATTTGTATCGATTTTATTGAGTGTCAAATATTTTTGAGTTTCATCGAGGATTTCCTCGACGGTAGGGCTGGATTTTTCACTTGTTTCGACATCCTGGGAAAATGTATGGATTCGATTGTTTTCTTTAGCCACGTCTTTGTGAGGCGAGGAAATTAGGCTAGGCTGGAGGGAAGCAGATGTAGCTATAGAAGCTTTGACTTGAGCAACTGAGACAAATTATTTAAAAAAGAGGCATAATATAGTGTTAGTATTAGTAACCATATTTAATATAGCAAATCATTAAATAATGCCCAAAATTTTTCAAAATCCGTAAGGATTTGTTAGTCAAAATAATTCCCTGGCACATATCTGACAAATACTAACCCCATAGGCACAGAGATACCTAGTTTGAATTAGTGGAAACGAAGGTCACTAAAAATCCCCCTCACAACAGCTCACCCATCAGCTTTCATTAAAAAGTCATTCAATTTGTATTTATTAATAATTTCCATCAAAGCAAATGTTTCTTTTTGTAGTTTCTAAACTCCAAAAAATCTCACAATTAATATAAGTTGGACCACATTTTGTAATATTTTTAATAAGGAACCCTAAATAATTTAAGAAATAAACTGATCATAACCTTAATAAAATTAAATATGTAATATAGTTTTATATGTTCTGTCCGTCTTTAGTAAATAATTCACTTATGTTGAAATATAACGTCTCTCGATTATTATAAGGTTCTAACTCGACTAATGGTGGATTTTGAATTAAGATCAAAACTTTATCCTTAGCACCCCCCCCCCTTATATTAAAAAAATTATTATAAATTTTTATATAACGGTTTACATTAAAATATGCGGAAAATATATATAAGTGATTTTAGGTTATATTTTTACCATTTCTATTCCTCCTTTCGAAAAATGTTTTCAATTGATACAAATATGTGACGATGGCTAATTTATCAATTTTATCATTTTGCAACATCTCCTGAGGTTCAATCAAAGGAGGTATTCCCAAATCGGAAGCTATTTTAAATGCCTTTTCAATAAATAATATTTAAAAAAAATTGATATACTGATATTTTTTTAAAAAATTTCATATTTTTAAGTAATTATAATTTTTAAAAAAAGGATTTAGTAATGTTAAAATTTAACTATACGTTTCTTTCGATTGATAAATAGATATTGCATTTGTCAAGGATATTCCAAACCAAAATTAGACAACATAAAACTCAGCAGCAAAATTAATATATATATTTTTTTAAATTTTATATTTTAGTAATTCTGTAATTTAAAAAAAAGGAAGAAAAATTAACTGTAAGTTTCACTAGATTTAAATAATTTGTCAAGGATATTCAAACCAAAATTAACCAAGAAGCGCAATAAAGTTGATATATTTTTTTAAAAAAATATTTTATTTTAATACTTATTATGACGCTTCGATAACATTTTAGGTCTTTGTCAAGGAAATCTATAAAATTGCAATGAAAATCTAGAAATTTAAAAAAGAAAGATATTCTAAAATTAAATGATGGAACAAATTAATTAAAAACTGGGATTCAAACCGAACCTGAAAGTTAAACCGGTATTTACCGTTATTATAATACCGAACCTAAACCGTTGAAAAATTCGAACCTGAATCTCTAAAAATGCCGGTGAACCAGGTTGAACCTTTTGAAATTTTAACCATTTTAAAGATAATTAGTAATCAATTTTGACTGACAAATATCAGTAAATTTTTCATATATATTTTTGAATACTGCTATTTGCCGGTGTTAGCTACAAGTTATCATATAGAAGTGCGTAACCAAGAGGGGAAGGGAATTCCCTCTCCATCGCAAATATGCCTGTTCTCGTAAATATCATCTTAAGCTAATAAAAGATTGCTCCTAGAAAGAATTTGATAGAAAAATTAGTAAAAGTTAAAAAACAATTTTTAAAATAACGAACTATGATTCAAAATTTTTATAAAAAAAATAAGTAGAAATCCAAATTATTTTTATAAAAATATAATAAAGCCAAAGGCCTACAATAAGTGAACCTAAAACCACCGCGAAAAACCTCGCCTAATTTAGATATAATTTGACAGAGAATCTTGAAAATACTTTAATTGTATATTGCTCAATATTATTTTTTAGAGAATAGTGTTAAAAAATTTTAGAACCTCCCCAAAATTTATATGTTTAAATCTGTAAACCAAAATATTCAAGGCGTCATAGCATCTACCCTAGAGCTTATTATAAATAATTTTCCGAATCATAACATATAAGATGGAAATAATTTTCCTATCAAACAGAAAAGCTTATTGTACCTTAATGGTTTTTCTAAAAACCTAGATTTAAGAGTTTTAAAATAAAACGGTTAAAAAAGAATTATAGCCATCCAAATATTACCGAACCATAAAGATTAGGTCAAAACACGTAAGAAATGTTTGGCCCTCTTTTTGTAAAATATCGATGCTTCGGTAATATTTGACTAAAATCTTAATTTAGCCGTTTTGTAAAAATCGGTTAAATCAAGGTTTTTAACACTATCCTATACCTAACGTCATTTTTATATATATATACATTTTCCAAGTTAATTATAACACTTCTTATCTTTTTATTTCTTATAATTTTATATTTTTATAAAAATGTTATCGAAACTTCAGGATAAATTTTTTTATTAACGTGTTTTGCCATTAAAATAATTTTTTATATAAGAATACAATGAACTCTCTAAAAATATAGAAGCTTTAAATTTACAAAAGTCAATATAAGTAAATATATATATATATCAGAAACCTGCAGGCCGGGCTCGGCCCCAAGCCCGATCCGGGTTTTAATTTTCTTAAATACCTGGGTTGGGCCTAAAATAATTTTTTTTAAATATTCTGGCCGGCTTAAAATTTCTTTTATAAAAAATACCAGACCAAGATGTATATTTTAAAACAGAATATTTTAAATCGCTATTAATTGTAAAAAATAAATGTAATATATTTTTAAAAAATCTGGGCCGGTGGTGCAAATGGTACCTCTCTGCGAGTTTAAAAAAATTTTTGGGTCGACCTGGGTTTTATTTAAAAATCGGTTTTATAGGTCTGACCCGGATTTTTTTGAAAAAAATTTAGACCCGGTCAGGCCCGGATATTAATAAAAAACTTTTTTTAGACCAGACCCGGATATATTTAAAAAAATTAAAATACGACTCGACCCGGGAGGTATTTGATATATATATTAATATTATGTTCAAAAAATATTTTATATTTCAATAAGTTTACTTTTCTATTATTGCCTTCAATGTCGTTAGGTGGCAAGGATGCTAAATCTCTATAATTATGTATTAATAATATATAAAAAATTTAATTCTATTAAAATAAAAAAATTCTTTAATACTAAATATTTAATTTTTTTTAAAAAAATTTTGCATCAATCTTTTCAGAGCCAATTTCTTAAAAAAGAATTATTCTATATATTTAACTCGATTTTTTTGGTATAAAAAAATTTCCTGCTGTGTTATGCTCACGTCTAAATCAACAATATACACGAAGTTAAATGAAGTCTACAAAATATTGCAATATTTATTTCAAAGTCTAAATCAGTGGTCTTTAAATGATAAAATTCTCAGGCCCGGCCCGTTTCCAATCTCACTAAAGTTCGACCTGACCCAGTTTCATCCTTTTACCAAGGTTGGCCAGCCCGAATTCGTACGTTTTTTTAAATATAAAGCCTAACTCCAACTATATGTAGTTGAACACCAAAATAAAAAAACTGTTTATGATATTTATTGGGAAGTGGTTAAATAAAAAACATACTCTATGGATTATCACTTCTATAAAATATCAGAATTCATCAAAAAGTCCAATACATTATAAAATATCTCCTATTTCTGCCAATAATAATTTGAACTTGTTTTGAGATTAAATATATAAAAAACCCTAATAATCATTTGTCATCATTAAAATTATAAACCAGTAAAAAAAACTATTTTAACAAAATTAGTTTTTGGAATAATTTTTTCATATTCTCTAATCTATATTAAGCGGATTGGGTATCACTACCTTTTCCCCGGCCCATTAATTAATTTGCTCAGTCCGTCCCAAAAAAAATTCAGACGCTACCCGACCCAAGCCATGGGCCGGGCATTGCAGACCAATGGTTTAGAGATCTATTCATTTAAAAAATACACACCGGCTTTTAAAAATACTTTTTCTTTCTTTTCTTCTCGCTTTTTTTCTTTCTCTCTTTTTCCTTTCTTTCTTCCTTCCGTCCTTTCTCCTTTTTTCTTAATTTAGAGAAATTCATGGCACTTAAAAATAACGAAGAGTTTACAAAACGTGATTATATTCGCTTACATTGAACCGGGTTGGTAATGTTCGATGACGACACAAAATATCCTTCCATCTCTAAATCGGTCTATAAAATTATTTTCGTTAGAGACCTCTAAACCGTGAGTTCTGCAGATATCGTCGCACCATTCGAACAAATCCACAGCTGGCGACTTTAACAAATTTTGAACGTCCACGCCGTTTTTAGGAATTAGTCGTGGAGTGGGATCTATTTTAGGTCTATTTTTATAATGTTATAAGGTAAAAGTTAGAGGTACATTGATTACAACGTTTTAGAGACCAATCATATCTGATTCTATTATGTCGATATCAGCTGAATTTTTATAATATTATGGTGAAAATGTCGGATGTGAATAAGCCGGAGATATACCAATAAAATAAATGTACGTTTTAAGCAAATGGATTATTGCGATTTAAAAAGAATGATTATCGTATTTTATTTATTTAAAATATGATTCAATTCATTTTTATATATCGGTTGGGCCAATTTATGAGTATGGGCTAATAACTGATATTTTTTAAAAAATAAATCGGATATTTAAAAAGTGATACATACTTAGTAAATGGGTATATATTTTTTTCATTGTCAGTTGTATCTCTTTCAATATTTTATTTCAAACAATTTCTCTTGTCCAATCCCTTCCTATCATAAATATTGCTTGCATTATATTTCTTTCTATCAAATTTCCTCATAACTCAAATTTTCCTTGTTCTTTTCGAGGTCAATATTCAATACACAATGAATATATTTTAACATATTACCATATGTTCGCATAGCTCATCTAAGCTCATAATATTGAATTGAATATTGATTGCATACATAATATCATTAAGAAAAAAATGTATCATACGCAAAATTTTGACTTAGTTTGTTAACCATTTCTTTGGCTTATTTTAAAAAGTTTTATTATACTTTTAAAGCCATTCTAAACAAATGTTTTTAAGCTAGAAAATAAATAATAAATCTAGCTTAATTAACCGAGTGGGGAAGAATATAAACTCTGATTTTTCCATTTTGAAAAATGAAAGAAGTCTTGTTTGGAAATGACCTAATAGATTTTTTTAATGCTTGAATTAAAAAAATTTGGGCCTTGGCCAGCATTTTCTTTATGCAATAAATTTTCATGTTGACTAATATTAAGATAAATCAATGACATTTATTTTATTCAGAATGATGGGGAATAATAAGAAACGTGTGATCTTATCAGAAAAATCTATTCAAGATTTATATGAAATCGGAGTGATGCTGATCTAGTTTTGTTTCCTTCTATTTATTTTTCTCCTAAATGTCGTGATATTTGGACCAGGATTCTTAAATGCTTTTATATAACCATTGTAATATCGTTCTTAATAAAAAAAAATTAAAAGAAGTCCTATGGGGTGATGTGGGCTGTATTTTGTATTCTGAAAGTATTAATAGCGATATATTGCTCTATCGAAATCCTACCTTCAACCTCATCGCGGTGGGAGAGTGACAACGTCTTTTGGCGGCTAATGGAGGTCTAAGAGGTTCACTAAAGTCTGGATCTTGAAAGGATAACCGTCTTCGACGGGATGTAAAAACCACCTTTAGGGGTTGATGTCAAGAAGGGCATCCGATTGTATAAACCCTGCACCAAAATTCCTAATGATCACAACAAAACATGGACGGGGTATAGCCCAAAGTACCCCGCTGGGCCTCCTCATCCGCCTACGACAAAAGAAGGATGGGAAACCTGGTGGAACCATGATTAGTGAAAATGAAACATATGTAGGCCATAAACGACCTTATAATAAGTGGAGAAACCCGTTTACGGGAGATAGAGTAAGAGTTGCGACATGGAATGTTAGGAGCATGGTGGGAAGAGCGGGATAAGTGGTCAATACACTACATAGAAGGCGTATAGATGTGTATTGCATGTAAGAGACTAGGTGGAAAGTTAAAGGCGCAAGATTGATTGGCAGGACAAGTAAAAAGTATAAATTTTTCTGGCAAGGAAGTAATGATGAAGGTTGACATTTTTATTACAGAGAAATGAGTGGACAATATAAGAAGTAAGAAGACTAGATAATCAAATAATGATTATCAAGATGATTTTTGGTAAAAAGCTATGCAATATTATTTCGGCATATCATCAGGTTGGAAGAAGTGAAGAAAAGAAGGATACATTTTGGGAAAAGGAATTCATCAAGAGTCCATGCTAAGTCCATTATTATCTATCTTAGTAGTGGATATGGTGGCTAGAGAGATGCGTAAAGGACTTCCCTTGGAGGTATTATATGCAGATGACCTTGTATTAATGGCAAACAGTGAGGAAGAATTGAGGGATAAAATTAGTAGATGGAAGATGGCTATGGAAGCAAAGGGCCTGAAAATGAAGGCAGTAAAGACAAAGGTAATGATTGGTGGGAATAATCTGAAGACAAAGGAATCCGACAACTGGCTTTGTGGTGTATGCGGGAAAGGAATTGCTAGAAATTCAATCCAATGCATCAGTGTCAGAAATGGGTGCATAAAAGATGTAGCGAGAAAAAAGGAAGTCTGATGTTAGCAAGAATGACCTTTATTTGTAGAACGTGCATAAAAGGTGTACATAATACTGATAATGTAGAAAATGGTGGTTTGTATATTGGCAATTGGTTAACCCTGGAAAAGTGAAAAATTTCTCTATTTGGGTAATATGCTAAAAGCAGACGGTGGTGTAGATTCTGTTGTTGTTGCAAAGGTCAGACAAGTATGGAAGAAGGAGATGTCATCTATTTCAACAAATAAAAACGTCTCTCTGAAGTTAAAGGGGAAAGTTTATGTAAGCTGTGTGAGGAGTTGTTTAGTTTCTGGTGGCGAAACATGGGCAATGGAAGCTGCAATTGGAAAGAACAGAGATGAGGATGATTAGATGAATATGTGAAGTATCTCTGAGAGAGAGAAAAACTAGCATGCGAGCAAGAATGGGAATAGAAGTGATTGGGGTTGTAATACGAAGAAATAGACTAAGATAGTTTGAGCATGTAAAATGTAAGATAAAAGATGACTGGGTAAAGAGATGCATCTTGATGGAAGTAGTAAGATCAAAACCTAGAGGAAGGCCCAAGATGACGTGGATAAAGATAATAGCGGCGGATATGAGAAAAATGAATCTTACAAATATTGATGCTCCGGACCGTCAAAAATGGAAAAGAAAAATCAGAGGGGAAACTGGCTAACCTGTGTAAACCAGGAAATCACCATTAAACGGAAAAGAAGATTGATAGTAATATATCTTAAACACATAATATTGTTTCTTTTAAGCATATTCCTTTCTTTTTTGTTTTACGTTTCAATATCAGTATTTATCAACGCAATTCTATTTTATAATCATCTGGAACTCTGATATTATCATTATATTTATAAAAATTAGGGCTGTGTCGATTTAAATATCGGATCGAACCGATATTTTTTAAAAATAACATCCGACCCTATATTTTTATATATATAATATTATTTTACATATAATTCCTTAATAATATATTAATAAAAGGAACTAGGGCTGTGCTGATCCACATATTTTTCACCAATCCAATCCGATATTAGTTTAAACCGATTCGATACCTGTCCGATATTATATTAATTTTTTAACCATCTTCTACCCTTAAGCCAAATGTAATAACTAAAATTCATATTTTATGTGCAAAAATGCATTATGTATTTAATTTAAATATTTCTATAATTAGAACTAAAATTTAAAAAAAAAATTATATTATAACATCAAAAAAAATATATAAATAATGTATGCATTTTATTTTGAACAGTATATATATGTATGTTTGGTATGAATATCAAAATGGTTATATTTAGCATATAAAATTAAAATATTTTTTATTTATAAAAATGAGAGCCTCAAGATTTTCTGACAATAAAATTATACGATCTGGATTATCTATATCCCTTGAAAATTCTCTTTATCTTTTATAAGAAATTTCCATAACTCAGGGGTCATATCTCTAAAAAAAAATTTCTTATAAATAATAAAATGGGTGAGATATTATTTTTTTTAAAAAAAAAGATTTAAAACCCTTCCATTTTTCTAAAAATAAATATAAAATCTATTAAAATAATGTAAAATTATATACATGTACAATCATAAAATAACAAAAAAACTAATAAAAAGATGGATCGTGTTTCTTTAAAGGTATTGGCTCAATCCAAAGACGCTAAAGCCCCGATCCAATATCTAATACCGACACAGCACTAAAAGGAACCAATTCAATTCATATGTTTTAAGAAAATCAAATTATTTTATGATAATGTGGCTATAAACTTGGTATTATTTTTTGTTATATATATCTGCAATAAAAAAAGGGGGTTAAACATATCTAACGAGTCACATTCAGCTAGTGTTGTTAAACGATTTGATTTAGCCGATTTTTGAAAATGGCTAACTCAAGATGTAAGCCAAAATAAAATTACAAAAGTTTGGAGATTTTACCCATAGACGACAGAAAGGTTTAGATATCTATTGGTAAAATTTGGAGGCTAAGGTAATATAACCTTGGCTCTTAATTTAGCTGTTTTTAAAAATCAGTTAAATCGAGCCGTTTAGCAACAGAGTAGTGATATATAATGATGGTTGGCATATAGCCATTTACTAAACCAAATTTCATTAAAATGCAATAAGACCTAATAATATATATTAGCAGAATATTCTATATATATATCATCGCCACAAGGACGGAACATCTAAGTTGGCATTAGCCAAAAAAAATGGTCCTTGCTGGATTCGAACCCAGAACTATAGGATTGTGATATACGCACTGAACCGACTAGACCACACATGCTACTCGAAAACATCAATTTTTTTTGTATATAAAGATAATTAAAACACAATCATATATTTTAATAAAACACATAAAAAATAAAGTTCAAAGCTATACATCATTGCCCTTAGCAACACTACATTCAGCTATAAACATTGACCATATTTTAAATGAGATTCTAAATTTTTAGGTAATAAGAAAAATACATATCATTCGTAAAAATTATTTAGTTTTTTTTAGAAAATATTGATTTTTTTATGACATTGGTTCAAAGATAGATGGTATATAAAAATTATCGGATCGGTTTTATAGCAATATCGGAAAAGGATCGAATCAGTAAAAAATTTGTGGATCGGATCGTACAAATGCAAATTATTTTTTTATATCATTTTAGAATGCGTTTAGTTACTATTTTTGATATAATAAATAGCAAAAATGTAAAAAATTTTAACACATTAATGACGGTAGATTACTTTCAAAATTTTGTTTGGATCACAAACATTATATTAATAATATAATAGCGCTGCAATTTATCCCAATCATCCTTGATTGATTTCTAATGATGGAAGAGAGATAATTATGATTATTATCTTAAACATTGCAATAAATGCATTCTTTTTGCTTTTATAACATAATGATGCACAAACATATACTATAAAAAAATGTAAACAAAATTAATACATTAGTAACTTATTTTTGTAGTCAGCGTGAATATCGGGAGTAGTTGTGGCATTCAAATTTAGGTGTTTTAGCTTAGGTCTCCTAAAACTTGAGCTCAGACGTCTCATCAAAGAACCCGTAGTTGTTGGAAGACCGATGGAGGTTAGAGTATTCAATTTGTTGCTAAAATTGGTTTCATAATGTTTTTCTTTGTAATTGTCATTCCCCAAGGCAACTAGGTTATTGTTGATAAATTGACCGTTTTTGATGCGTAGGGAGCCATAATAACGATTGTTTTTTAAGTCTTGTTAATATGGTGAAGTTTTATTAAAATATATGTAAAATATGGGTTTATTGTTAGTGTATTTTTTATAGAACTGGATAAAATATTTTTTAAAATAACAACAGGCGCAACTTTGTCTTTTAGTTTTGTTTATTCAATTATGTTAGATTATCATTTAAACCCCATATCATCGACCTTGATTCGCAACTATGTGCTATAAAGATCGTTGCAATTTCATAATTTATAAATTATAAAAACCTTTTACAAAAAACATGATAAAAGATATATACTTTTGAAAGGCGAATCGTATATGGCAAAATTGTTTTTATCAGCTTTCGCCAAGGGTGTGCTCGTTAGATGATTATTTTTTAAGGGCGGATTTCTTTTTTTACTATCATCCCATTTTTCATTTTCGACAATTTTATTTATATGAGAGGGCGTAGTATTAGGCGTGAATTGATTGCCGGCTGGAGTGCATTTGATGAACAAGTTGGAAACTAAATATTTGTTATTAATAAAAAAATATATATATATTACATCGATATAGAATGCTTTATCTGCTTTTTATTCAGAATCGTGCTTTATTTTTAACCCTTAAAATCCCTTTTATGAATAGTTTAACAAGGTTGTAGTGATTAAGCTCAAATCAAAAACTTCGCAAAACGTGGAAAATATTAATAATGGAAATTGATAAGAAAAAAATTTTAGAAGATTTACCTTGTTCCAAATCAAAAAAGCTCATCTTTTTGTGAAGTTTATTTTCGCTTAAACCTTCCCCTTTTAATTGTTTGGTCGAATTGTTGGTGGGAATGTTTAGTTTATTAAGGTCTAGTTGAGATGTATCGTTAACTTCATTAATTGAATTTTAAAATATAATAAATAAGCGCTCATGAAAAGAAATAGTTGTTTAATAAAGATTTGTATTAGAAGGGATATGGATAATCTATCGTGAAGAATTATCTAAAAGTAAACTAATTACATAATTCTCTCATAAACTTGAAGAATATTGTAGGCAATGGGGATTGTTTTTAATGCCCAAACGATATCACAAGATATTCTTAATTGGTTATTCTATTAAATTATAACTTGAGAGACTATTTTTGTCACAATCTCCGTAATTGAACATTTATGGAGCAACTTAAATATTATATTTGTAACCAAAAAAAATATTAAAAAATTTAATTTACAATGAAGGTAACAAACCTTGGTTATTGCTATTCTCATCCCCTTCAATCGCTCCTTTTACCACGAACCACTTTTCAAGCTGAGCATCTTCGGGACTTTGATTTGCACTGCTATCTCCATTCATACTAACGTCTTTTAGATTTTTCCCATTTTCTCCCGTTAAACGATGATGATCGTTTTGAAAAGTCTTATCAGAACTTTGGCCACAGGTCTTTGCCCAATCCCTGTGCAGTTGATTGACCTTGGCTCCGAAGTTGGAGTTCGAGTCAAGGCTATTGTTACTGAATTTGTCGTGTTCATACTCGTCCTCTGGGCTAAAGCTGATCATGGAAGCCAGGCTTCGCATATCTTCATCACTTTATGTTTATGTTTATAGAAACATTTTTTTTAAAGTAAATCAATTTAAATTCGATTTCGCTGAGAATTACTCATTTTCACCTCATGGGCTGGCCGCAGCCATGGGTTTTTAAATGATTTGGTGATCAAATGCCATTAAAGGATCGCTGTCTGATGATGTCTTGGTTAACAATTTATTAAGTTTATGAATTCTATGAGGGAAGGGAGATATGAAACATTGCCTCTTCATTTGTAAGCATAATGCCTTATCATTCCTAGGGCCGTAAAATACTGACTCCTCTATTTACGATAATGACTAGAAAAAATGATGCTTTAATGTAAAATATTTTTTTTCAAATCATAGGTTTCAACAAGAGCTGAATATTGTCTGTAAAAGAACATAATGTTATATTACCTTATTTTAACATTTTAACTATTCTTATCCTTTTATAATAACGATTTTATATTGTCTACGAAACGCTATCGCTGCTTACAATACCCAAATAAAATTTTAAAACAATAATGATATTATTTATAACATATATGGATCAATGATTTTTTTTAAATCAATCATTTAAATGTTCTTCTCAAGCTCATTAAAACATTAAGTGGTGCCTGCCACCAGGCACGTTGACAAATAATGTTGAACCAAGAAAAACCAAGACTATGGCATAGAACTCCAGGTATATTGGACCGGCTCTAAAAATAGACGTGTTAATTTCAGTATCCTGTGCTAAGATTATGGAGAAGCTAGGCAAGATCTAAAAACTTGCTAATTTTATAACAGCTTTCTCTGCCATAATACTAAACTCGTCAATATAAAAGACCCTTTTCCTTACCAAAATTTTTATAATTATTCCCCCTAAAAAACTCAATAGGGGTTTAAGAAAAGATAAAGGTTTGCAGAATATACCAAAACATATCACACTAAAAAAAAATTTAATGTAGAATATAAACTTAAACACTTACGTGGCTTTTCCTTCCTTTAAAAAATTGCAGGACACGGTAAAACTTAAGATGGCTTCTCTGACCCTTTTACCGTTGGGTCTGAGATTCAGTTTGACTTGGCTGACCTTGGGTTCTAAGCCGCAACAAGCACCCACATAATTGTTGAGCCTTATATCGGTTGAAGCAGTAATCTGCTGCCTTTTATTATGGATGTCCTTGATGTTTCGCTGGGAAAAATAACATTATCAAAATAAAAAAAATTACAGATGCAAAAGAAAAAAAATTAATGTTATATAGTATATTATATAGCTTCTGATTTTTAATATTATCATCATAATTGCATTGGAATTATATATATCCAAACAAAATCATGAAACCAACAGTGGTTTTGCTAACTCTTATCTAGGGCTTACTAAATTCTCTAAAATAATCTCGCTTTCGTTCCTCCCCCATAGTTATTGTTCCAATATAATATTATATTTATATTATAAGATGAATTTTAATTCCAAATGTAAAAGAGAAGGAGTGGACTCGTTAAGATAAGATCCTGACCCTAACTTAATTTCTAGCAAAGGCGGAGTTAGGAGAATCATATAATAGGCAAGCTAAGAGGTGAGAAAACAAGTGTTAAGTTGCATTTAGTACATCTTCGATAAATATGGTCCATTCTTTGTCCTCAAAGATTTGAGGATCCTTGGGATCTCTGTAGAGAGTCACTTCGATTTCAGTGGTTTCGGGTATAGGCCAGGTCAATACGCCCTTAAAGGAATTATCTATAGTTGGTTCCCATTTTCTCCACTAGGCATAAATAATATAAGAGATTAGAATTTTCTTTTTTTTATAGCTCCAAATATTTTATGCGAAAATAAATAAAGGCAAAATTTAAACTTAAATTCAGTTCCAAAAAAAACCTTATTCAAAAGAAAGATAAACACAAATGAACACGAATATTTAAATTGATTAGCAATTAAAATCATAAGGTATTATATTAACAACTATAATTATTGGAGATCATATTTAAAATAATATTGAGATAATTTATTTTTATTTTACACTCAACAGAACAATATATTTAGAATAGGATGCATTACAAAAAAATAGAAATATAAAAATTTACTTGTGTAGATGTTTTCCGGTTCCGTCGGCACCATATAATACAAACGCTATTAGGTATCCTAGTTTTTTTAAAGAAAAAATTATTAAATAACAGAGTTGTTAAAGGATCTAGATACGTATCTAGATCCTGTATCTAGATATATAAATATAGTCTCTGTATCTGTATCTAGATAGATTTTCAATTAAAATATCCATATCTAGATATTATTTTAGACGATATATCTGTATCTAGATCCATTTAAAAAGTATCTTTTAACAACTCTGTTAAATAATGCGCATAAAATAAAATAAATAATATAAAGCGCTGCGCGTTTTTAATTTATAAACGTCATCTACCACATCAAATAACTTATCCCAATTTATTAACAATTCTCAATGTTATTTAAACCCAAGAGTTCTAAAGTACTCGTACTATCTACAGGAACACATGGTCGGGAGGGGGCTATTATATTTTTAAATGTGGTAAAGTAAATAAACAAGATTTAATAGTGACCGATGAAATTAGATTTAAAGATAATTTTACAATGCTATTAAAATTAGTCGAAGAATCAAGCAGAGAGAAAAATTAGTGTTGTTAAATGGCCTCATTTAGCCGCCAAAATAATATTACGTAAGCCTCGAAATTTCTTTAATAGATGTGCAAATCTATCTGCCATCTATGAGCAAAATCTCCAGGCTTGCGCAACATTTTCTGGCTAAAATACTGGGTTAGTCATTTTTGAAAATCGAGTCGTTTAAGGCCACTAATAGATAAATAAATATTTAACGAACAAAAATAATATATTACGATAACTCGAAAGAAAAATAGATCTTTTTTAAACCATTTTTTGTCATATTCCAGGATTAATTCGTGATAAGTGATGGTGAATCTAAATTTTGCCGCTTTTTTGCCGACCCTTTGAAACCGTTTCCACAAACTCATTTGGCCGAAAAAATTAAGAAAAATGCGTGATTATTAATGTAGTGCGCGTTTTAATTTTTGCAGGGATATATGGGAGAAGGAGAGAATTATTAAACCGGAAGAAAATGAACTAAAATTCGTGGTGCCATGTTAATTGATTTTTTCAGTGGCTAATCATCTCTATGATGCGATATTTTGGCGGGATTCAACAGGGAAGCCTGTAAAATAAAATGTAAATATTTGGTTTAATAAAACAATAAAGTTGTGCTCAAATATATTTCATTCACTTTACCCTGGGTATGGAATAAAATAACGAAAATGACATACTTCACATAATTAATCATAACTCCTTAAATATATAAGTAAATATACTTTTTATTATTTATGGTTGAGGGGTTCGGTCACATAAAATCTTATAATTTGTTCTGTTATGCTTTTGTTTAAAATTTTTATAGTAAAAATGCAAAATATCAATCGTTTTACCCCGATCTCTCCTAATATTTATTAGTCATTTTGAGACGATATTTAAAAAAACTTAATTAAGATTTTCACAAACTTCAAATATGATTAAACGAAATGACATGGAAAAAAAAGTGAGCATTAACTCAATTACAAATACAAACTATAATTAAAAATCAATAAAGATGTCCAATAAACCTTGCTATTGTTAAATCGGATTTAAGTAACTTTTGTTATTGTTTAAAAAAAATTGAAGGTCTTATTGATTTAATTTCCAGAATCTGCTAAATACCTTAAAACGTTATTTTTTAAAAAAATAGCACTTGGTATGAAGTGGTGTTGTTCCAGATTTGGGTCCATCTAAAAACGGTCCATTAAGATTTTAATCAAAATAATATTATGATATTATTTAAGCCTCGAGATTTGGCAACTAGGGATCGTTTTTAAAAACCGACCCAAATAGGGCCGGTTTAACAACACAAGGTACGAAAGATTGGTGTTTAATGCCTTTTTAAAAAAAAACATTCTAAGTCATTGTTGATAAAATTATAAAGTTGCTATATATAACTTTTAACATATCTTTTGAAAATCGATATTGCCAAAAAAAAATTATATAATACATTTACTTGTTAATCGTGAAAAGTTTGAATTTGTGTTTTTTGTTGTTATAATTTTTAATCCATCAAAAAAAAATTGAGGAAAATTATTAATTCCTGTTAAAAAAAAAGAAGAAAAACGTCTAAGTCAAAGTTATCATAATTATTTAAAAGAAAAAAAATGGAGATTATGATATATAACAGTAAAACAAGCTTAACCTTTGCTCAAAGGATACTAAAAACATTTTTTTAAAAATAGTAAGACTGGGTACTACTTCGTCTTTACCTTTTTTTAGAGTGCTAAATAGCTATTTGCAACGAATTTATAACCGTAAATGACTTATAGCGAACGAATTGCCGCAATCGCATTATCGGGAAAGCAGTCTAATAAAGGTTACCCTTTTATATTTATCAAAGGCCAAGTTAAAGCTTTCCTTAAATGAGGGATCCAAACCGAACCTGAACCGAACCATTAAATCGCTAAAAACCGGTATTTTTATCGAACCTAAACCGCTAAAAAAATTCTAGCCAAACCTGAACCGAACCTCTAAAATGCCTCTGAACCGGTTCGAGCCTCATGATGTTGTGCCTAAAATAATGTGTAAGTTATTACTAGTATATTGCAAAAATTTTAATTATATTCGAATTATTTTAAAGATTATCATCAATCACATTTGATAGAAATATTCTTCCCTATACATAATTCGAATGTAGGTTTGAATATAAAAGTGTTCAAACCGTTTTTTAGAGGTTCTAACCGAACCGATATTTTAATTTTTTACGAACCGAACCTGAATCTAAACCGTTATTTTAATTTGAACCTAAACATGAACCGAACCGATATTCTTTTCGGTTTGGATCCCTGCCTTAAATTTATATTTAATCGTATAAAAGTTGCAATTTATATTTTTCGATCAATCCTTATATAATTTAATCCCCTTTTGCTTCCAGGCTACGACGGTTATTACGATAATACTATACATAGGGGTGCAAATAGTGAAACTAAATTTTAAGGTCAGGGCTCTCTTGAAAAATTTCTGTTTCCGGCCAGTTTTAAACAAAATAAATCTATTCATCCAACTTCCTCTGAAAGAGAAATAATATAGGACAAGTATTTTTTATCCCATAGTTTCGAATTATGATTCTGCGAAAATAAAGATGAACCATGGATTATGATTATTTAAATTCCAGATTCAGCCTCATTAATTTGTTAGAAGTCAAGAGATGAGCTCTATAAAATGGTGGCAAAATAAATATCCTATTCTTTATAATATAAGTGTAGTTTCCAAGGAAGAAGCGAACATTTGGTATAAAATGGTGAAAAGAAGAGAGAAAATAAAGACTAAATTTCAATAAATATTAGTGTTTACAAATTACCAAAAAAGGTACCGCATATTTAAAATTAATCAAAGTGGGCATTATTTCGCTTTATCAGATAAGTTTTCAGCGCGATGAAAGAGTTTTACATAAAAAAAAAGAAGTTCGGTAAATAATGTTAAATGATAGATTTGCCTCATTGTGCATTGTTATATATCGATCGCGATAGAATGGACAAAGAGAAATTTCGCTCAGAAATTATTTCAATATTTTTATATTTAAAAAAAGTCAAGGAAATGGCAACCAGCCATTCGTAAATTTATCATATTTTTTAGATGACAGCGATTCATAATTTAGATATTATAGTGTGTTTTTAAAATATAAATTATTTATAATATTTATCATTAGAAAACCTGTACGCCGAAATATAAAGTGCCAGCCAGGCGGCATAGCTAGAATCGGCGTGGCAATAATCGCCGGGAACGTACATGCATAATTCTTAAATCGGTTATAGAGTGCGTTTTTTGAAAGGCCTCATAATGGCAGAATCATCTTTCAGCATACATAAAGGATAAAACATTTTTTTTAGTTAAGAAGAATACGACTAATAAAATTTTGTAGTCGTTTAAAAAAAACGGTCATATATGGAATCAAGTCAGTCAGAATAAAACTATGCGATAGGTTATGAAATAGTTTTTGTGAAAATATATTCGTAGTATTCGATTCACGATAATGTTTTCTCGATAATACATTAGAGGTAATCGACTTTCATGCATTCGCGCAGAAAAAATTTTGCTGCATTAACGTGATACCAAATGAAGTATATTGATAGAATTTTTCTTCGTATGCACCTATGAAAAACTTTTTTATATTCATTATTTAGTCTAATGTGAAAGTAAAGGAGCTGAGGCTTAAGATCTTTAAATGGTCTAAAATACTTTAATAACAAAAAAAAAGGTTTTAAATATAATTATATCGGAGGCCTACAAATCCTAGGCCGTAAAATGGTATAAATTTTTAAATCCGGGTGGGGTTTAAAAATATATTAGAAATAAGTCGGGTAAAATAATGAATAAAAAAATTTTACAATAACAATTTGATCCATTTTGGAAAAGCATACAATGAATCATTTAACCTTTATTTATTGCTCATATTTTCAATTTCCCTTCGAAACAATTTATAAACTATTATACTCAAGAAGATTTATTTAAATTTCAATTCGTTTATTTATAATCACATAAACTGTCAGATTTGATAGGATATTGATAAAAAGGATTTAAAAACCAATCTGAACCTTAACCCGTATATATAAGGTTGTTAAAATACCCGATTCTGGTAGATTTTAAAAACGACCCGATTTGGGTAAAATAATATGATGTAAGCTCAAGATTTGGCAAAGAGAGGTCGAAACCATTCTACCATCTATGAGCATTATCTCCGGGCTTATATATATCATTATTTGGCTAAAATCTTAATCAATACAAACCTAAATTATTTAAAATAACAAAATTTAAAAAAATCCGAGCTGGAGAATTGATTTTTTTTTTAAAAAATAATAATATAAAATAAGCCGAGCTGAGAAATTTTGATCTCTTGTTTTAAAAAATAAAAAATCTCTTTTTTTAAAATAGAATTTATAAAAAATTATAGAATTTCTAATCTCGAAATTTTTTGCCACGATTTTTTTTGTTTAAGATTTCAATCTCCGTCACGATCGCATAAACCTTTAAAAAATATATATATATATAAGAGAAAAAAAATTGGAATAATGTACATAATTAAAATTATCTAATTAAATTGTAATTTATGCCAATACATGTAGCAAGAGACAAGTAAAAAGCTGGAGAGTGGAAAAACTACTTTTTTTTGATTTTATAGTTGATAATTATTTTTGATAACTTTGTCTACCAACCCATCTTCATTACGCATCTTTTAAATTGTTTCAAAAATTGGTGTAGCAAGAAAGAGAAGAAGAAAAATTTTATTTTTAAAATCAACGTCTATTTTATTTTTAAATCAGGACGTCCTTTTTATTTTTAAATCAGGAGGTCCATTTTATTTTTAAATTAGGACGTCTATTTTATTTTTAAATTAGGACGTCCATTTTTTTTTAAATCAGGACGTCCATTATATTTTTAAATCAAGACGTCCATTTTATTTTTAAATTCAAGACGTTCATTTTATTTAAAATCAGGACGTCCATTTTATTTTAAATCAGGATGTTCATTTTATTTTAAATCAGGACGCCCATTTTATTTTAAATCACGTCCATTTTATTTTTATAGCAGGACGTCCATTTTATTTTTAAATCAGGATGTCCATTTTATTTTTAAATCATGATGTCCATTTTATTTTAAATCAGGACGTCCTTTTTATTTTAAAGTTGAATAAGAAACCGTTCGAAATAAGCGTTAAAAAAAATAAAATACACGAAAAAGAAAAGGCTTGATCGATTCGTCCTACGGGATGATCATTTAGAAAATAGTTGCCTAGTTAGGGAGACCTCCAAGCAGGCATAAAAATGATGGCGATGCTTTGGAATAAAACCAGATGAAACCCGGTTTTTTTACATTTAAAAAAAACAATCATTATCATGTCGCCTCCATCTTTTGATATTAAAAATATTTTTATTTAAAAAAGTGATAAAATAATCAAAAGTTATAGTGAAGATAAGAGTTAACGGAAAATATAACCCTTATAACCGGATCAAAACTATGAACCGAAAGTTGAACCTGAACAGAGAATCTCGGCTCTCAAGATTTACAGAATGGAATGAACTAAAATAATCATTTCAGAATCCGGTGCGACTATAACCGTCTTTTAAAAAATATTCACAACTGCAACTCTTTTTGGTTCGGCTTCCAAATAAGATTCATTTGGACACCCAATAAAAGAGCTAAGGTAATGTCTTAGCTCGTCTTTCTTAATTTCTAAATAAAGCAATTTATTCAAAAAAGTAGCTAGGGCATCCCCTATTTGACGTAAGTTGATGATATCGTTAAAATACGCTTAAAATTGTAGTATAATTGTTTAAAAAATTTTAAGCCTTAAAATCACATTGTCCAGAAAATTATTTAGAATTCTAAAAAGAAAAAAAGAAGAGGTAAAAGTGTAGATCGCACTAAAAAGCTGTATTTACATGAGAATTTTTCCTATGATCTATTTAATAATTCTGATTTCGTTTCTTTAATTTAAAATTATATAAACTATTATGACGGTGAATGAAAAGGCTTAATTTAATCAATATGAAAAAAAAATTAAAGTATTCAAAAGCAAAGAACAACGAAAAAAGTGTTTTGAATCCAACGCAAATCTATCTATCTTCGTTTTCTATGGAAATATTTTCATTTTTTTTTAAAAAAAAGGATGAAATAATTAAATTATTCTTTTTCCTAACTGGAAAAAAAAAGGTGTGAAAAGGAACATGGAAAAATGTTTCCGATTAGATATTTTATAACTTTTCAATTTGTAAATTGTTTTGTTTAAAATAATTTTAAAAAAGCTAGACACAAAAATGAATTTAAATTTATTTTTAAATAAAATAGAGGAATGACAAATTTCTATGGCACTTGTTCAGAATCGTTACATTTTTCTCGATTTTAGTAACGTCAAAAAGCTAAATATTGTAGAAGTGTGCTATGATTTAGATTTAGGCGCGCTAAAAAATATTTTGCTGTCAAATACAATCAAAAGTTGAATTTGTGTAATTGCCTAATAAATGTATATAATCAGCTGGTAAGGAAGAGCTCGCTAAAGATGCGATGGCGCTTTTGTCTCTTCGTATTGAGAGCAAGGCCACTGCTGAGATTATGCCTCTGGTAAATTCAAATCACATTTTATTAAAGAAATTAAAAATTCGGCAAATACCTGTTCTCTAATAATTATCTTATCTGGTCTTATAATAGATTAATTATAGAAAATAGTGAAGAAAAAGAAAGTAAAAACGTCTTAACTATTAGTTATTTATATATATCTAATAAAATAATTTTGTCTAGACATGGAAAAAGAAGTTAATGGTGTAAAGAGTTTTTCTTTAAAAAAAACTAAATTATCAAAAAAATTATTTTTTTTAAATAAGGAACACTTATTTAGATAACTTAAATATATATAAATGGATTCGTATAAATTTTATCATATTTAGTAATGTTATTGGAGTTACTTTTAAAAAATAATTCGTTATAAATTAAGTTTTGCAAAAGTAATTACAGTTACAAGTTTCGTTTTCAAAAGCAACTTTAACTAGTTTATTTGTTAAAAGTAACTAATTACATTGCAAGTTACTTTATAAATAATTTTTATAATTCGCCATTTTAAATATGATTTTTTTTTATTGTACAAAATAATTGTGCGATTCATAGATTAATCAAAAAGAAATTAAATCAAATATACACATAAATAAAGAAATAAATGCACTGAAAAAAATTTGCCGTCATTTTAATATTTATGTCAGACTTGCAGGCCTGGCCCTAAGCCCGACCCGGGTTTAGTTTTTTAAAATATACCCGGGCCGGGCCGGGCAGGGCCGGGCCTGGCTCTGGCTGTATATTTTATAACCAAATATTTGAAATCGCCATTATTAGCTATAAAAATCAAAAATAAATATATTTTAAAAATATCCAGGCCGGGCCTGAAAATTTTTTTTTTAAAAAAACCGGGCCGGGCCTTAAAATAAAAAACCCGAGCAGGGCCGTAAAAAATTTTTGAAAAAAAATCCAGGCCGGGCCGAAAATATTTTTTAAAAAAAATCAGGGCCGGTTCGTGCAAATGGTACTTCTGTGTCTCTAATTTATGTGCACTAGAAAAATATCATAATATATTTATTTTCCATAAAAATTTTGAACTAATTAATTTTTATTTGAATATTAAAAATAAACTATTTTAAAAATTTGTTTTTAGAAGAGGGTTCATTTTTTCCCCAAAATAAGTCGACCTAGACTAGAGGAGAGTTTAATATAAATGAGGCATTTTATTCAATATACAGATATTCTTGTAAAGTAACTTGAAAAATAACTTCTTAGTTCTGTCGTTACATTTCCAAAAACTAATAAACTTTTTTCATTAGTTAAAAACAATAGATTTTATGTTAAGGCCATACGAGAGCGTTCGAGACGTTCAACTCTATTATACATCATTACCCGAACAAATAATATAATACTCAACTTACCGGAAAAAATTTTGCGAAAAAATAAGGAAACTTTCAAAACAATGACAAATAATTTGATATTTAAGTTTTAAGGTTACGTCCAAAATTTGCCTTAAAAAAATTGGAAAAGTTTTAAAACTTTCAGAAATTTTAAAATTTTATATAAATATATTTTGGACATGTTTTTATTTTTATATTCTAAAAAAACAGTTTCAAAAGTTTAAAAAAATATTTTTTGATATTTTGGATACAGCCTAAAACGAGAATTCCTATTGCTACCAAAAAAAACTACTTTGCTATTTAATCCGAATCGATTTAATTCTCAATTATTTATTTATTTTTAATATTTTGTAATATCTAAGACCAGGGTTTATTTTAATTTT